CAGACTTCCTGCACACACAGCCATACCATGCCTGCTCCCTACCTGCTGTTAGAGCACAGAGACATCCTCCTCATTTCACAATCTCACCATCCTGTCATCACCTTCCATTCTCTTCCTCAACCACTACCTTGCAGCAAGCAGAGCTCACTTCTCCTGACCCAGCAAAACACTTTTAAGTAAGCAATTAAACTAACAGAGATCAGAGCCTGCCCATTAATATTAAAGCAGTAGACAGGATGCAACAGACACTACAAATCCTTCTGGACAAAGGGTCTATTTTGTTTGTCTGTCCATTGCATTCTTGCTCATAACAAACAGATCCTGATCTATCCTAACCAGTTGATAGGCTCCTAGGTAGCCAGAAATTTAGCGTAGGCCACCAAGTATAAATTACTGAACTATTTCATACAATGGTAAAAGTTAAGAGCATGCCATAGAGAGCCACCAACTACCCAAGGGCTTCAGCCCCATTGCTATCCAGCTGCCCTGCACAAGCTGATTAGGGTGGCTCTTCCAAAAGCCTACAGCAGGTTGAAGATAACTAGAAAAAGGTGTCCTGTTCCCCATCAAATACCAACAGAGATCTACAGTGTGGAGACCGTGGCTGAGAGCACTGACACATCTATGTCCTACACATGCTGCATCCTGCCTCTCCCACAACCCTTTTTTCCTCCATCTAGGCCTGGGCAGCAAGGTTACAAAACTTAAAGCACACATTTTACACTTCCAAAACTTCTCAACTCAACAGGCCTGGGACACCCAGTGCCTGAGCTGCAGACTCAAACCAAAAACACCTCCCTGACTGAAGTGCACACATCACCAGTCCTGCAGTGGGAGCACAGCAGTGCTTAACCAAGGCAAAGCAGACACCCATGACAGCAGGTGAGGAAGGACATAAAAAATAAAAGCAAGGAATTCTCTCCCCCTTTTGCAGGGAGGGACAGATAGATACAGGTTAAGAAAACTCTGACCAAAGCAACTGTCTGCAAAAAAAAGCATTCCACTGAACTGGTTAGGCAAGGGGCTGAGGAGGACTGCTTGCTCAGGGGCACGAAAGGAAGGTATGTACCTGGGGGAGGGGGGCCAAGCTGCTCCATCACTCAGGACAGCACGCCTGCTCCTATCAGTGAGTGCCCTCAGGGTCCCTAGAGCTCTCCACATGCTGCTGGGACAGGGGCAGGACAACAGGAGAACTCCAGGCTCTGCAAGCCCCACAAATAACACTTTTTCAAGAAGCCTCCTGCTAAAATTGTTAGTCCAGAGTAGCTTCATTTGGGTCTAGCTAGCATCCCTTAGCACTGCTGACTTAGAAGGACTTCTGAGGGGTGAAGGAAAGTCACAAGGCTCCAGGTCAGTGGAAGGCTTATTGCCCTGCCACGCACTCATTCCTCATGGAGCCCTCAGACCCCTCCCCCAGCAGCTCCAAGGAGCTCCATCAGTCAGAAGAAATCTATTTTTTCATACATCACCTGGCTTCTAGTACCATGGGAGACACCTTGGAGGCACCATCCTTCTACAGGGAGCTGGCCATCACCCCCACCACAGACCCCAATACCACCATCTCCATCCTAGGCCATGAAGGAGGTCAGGGAGCAGCATCTTCTTGGGTGAAACCCAACAGTGGCTCATAGGATGCACATACCACTTACCTTCTTGGGTGCCTTCAGCTCCACACCACACCAGGGCCATGGCAGATTCTAAATGCTCTCTGTGCCTAGGGACCACCAGCCTTTCTATCTGCTACATGGGAAGATAGATTTCTGCTGGGACTTCCCAGCCTGCTTGTGGTTAAGGCTATGGGAGAGAAAGAGGCACAGCCAGCAGCCTCACAGACAGGCATCCTGAAACCAGCTGCACAGGACATTGTGAAAGAGCTGGTCACAAGGCACGAGACAAAGGGAAGGCTGCTGACTGTTTAATTTCACACCAGACCCACAAATTCTCTTCCTGTCCCCTCCAGCTCATCTCACCCCGAGGTAATGCCAATTGCCAGTTTCTCCCACTCCTTTCTTCCACAGAACGCAGGAAGAATATTTCTTCCTTAAAAAGAAAGAGAATGAGAACTGCAAGGTTACAGAGCAGCAACAGACATGGTCATAGCTCAGACATAAGGGGTTCCTTTGTAACCATCTTCTCCTTCAGCTCTCTCCCAAGAGAGAGTTGCTCTTAAAAAGAAATGGATGCAACTGGTGGCTGTTCAGCAGAGAAGGACCCATGCTCATTTAGCAGCCCACCAGTGGCACAGTTTCTTTGGGCATTGCTCTGAACACTGATGCCCATTCTCCCCTACCAGTTCTGTTGCTTGCAGGCAACTGTACCAAAACAAAAATCGCAACTCTTGCCAGCAAAACTCCTAGGATCAAGGATGAACATCTTTTAAGGCTGGAAGTTTCATTTTTCAGCCGTAAGTTGCTGAAAGCACAAAGTTTATTTTAAACCTCAATTGGGATCGCCGTAAAGTCCACAGAAGGACAATTGCTTTGAATAAACCAGTCTCATTCACCATGAACCTTTTTAAATCTCACATGGTGGTACATCGCAGAAACAAGCTGGCCTCGCTCTTTTCCAGAGACAAATCTAATAATGAAAAGCACTCTGCCTTGATCTCACTGTTCATCTCTCAGGGCCCCTCTGTTTCTGCTGCATTCCTTTGTGTTTATCTGCCCTCTTCAACTCTTTGCTGCAATCAGCTGCGTGCAGCACCTCGTGTCTAGGAGTGACATGGCTGAGGTTACAGAGAGACAGGTGCAAGGGGAGCGCTTGCCCCGAAGGTATCCAAAGGAAAAGAGAAGCTGGAGGGGAAGAGGGTTGTAAGGTATTTCAGATTAAAGCCGACAAACAGCAAACACCTTGCCTGAGGCTACACATTCTCTGCCAGTGCAAGCTGCAAGCCCCAGAAACAGCAAAGCAAACACAGACTTCTCTGCAAGGGGGAGTTGTCACCTGTCAGGGATGTTTGCAAATTTATAGGGAGGTGGTGGTGGTGCTAAGGGGAGTAAAAAGAGCTTTCCTCCTTTTAAAAGACAGGCTGTTTGCACAGGTTTGCAATGCATATTTCGCTTTGTGAAGGCTTTTGTGCAGCACTCAACTCAGCAAAGGTTCTGTCTTCCAGGGAAGGCAAACTGGAACATTTATTAATGAACATGGGGACACCCAGACTCAAGCAGTGTCTGAGCTGTTGGCTTACAGCAAAGGCAGGGTGGGATGGAATTTCCCCACTCCCCCTTTGGCTGTCACTGGGGTGAAAAACACTTAAAGATGTTACCACGCATCTTGGCCTCCCCAGAGATGCCTCCTAGAAGGCTGCCATCATAAGCAAGAAATAAATTTTACAGCTAAAGCTGCCTGCCCTGCTTTCCCAGCCCCAGAACTGACTCCAGCAGTGGTCAGAGAGGACAAGAAGGGATTTTCCACTGATGTTTCACTGCACCACAGACAGGAGAGGGAGACTTTGAACAACAGCTCCAAGATAGCCTGGCAGCTGCTGCTGAGCACTGCTGACAGCTCAGAGGAGCCAGAGATATAAAGGCTTTGCTAGCGCTCAACACAGCAAGTCCAGGTGTAGACATGGAAGGTGCAAAGCTACTTTGAAGTACCAGGGATTGTTATACATGAGGGCATAACTAGTTCAAATAGAGCACTACCAGCCCAATTTGAAAAGCAGATATCCCCTCTTAAACACAGAAAGCCTCTCGAACAAGCTGAAGAGATGCCATTTTACTGGAGCTTTAGTAGGGCAACAAGGAAATTTGAGAAGTATCCTTTCAGACTCACATTGCAGGCTTGCACACTCAGTGCTGCCCCTCTGAGCCCACCCCAAATCAAGCAATAAGCAGACAGAAATCAGTTGTCTCTCTGTGGAGTGGCTGCTTCACATTAACTACACAGACACCCAACCTCAAAACGGCCTTTTCACCTCTTGCAGTTCCACAAGGAAAGTGGAACACACTACCCTGTCCTGTTTCAGCAGTCATATCAGACAGGCAAAAACAGGTCAAACCTTCTGGTACCCAGGAGTGCAGTCAGCGTGACCTGGGAGTTCTTCCTCTGCAGATGCAAACCTCTGGGTTTAGGTCTGACCAACACCAGTGCTGCAAACATACCATGGCTGAACACAGAAGACATTTGTTGATTAGCTAGGAAATTAAACTGTAGTTTCTCAGGACGAAAGTACAGAGGAACAAGAACATTTAGAAAGCAACTGACTCCAAAGCAGACAGGAGTTTTGCCCTGAAGTATGTTAGACCCAGGAAAGCATAAACAAATAGCTCAAACTCCTGACACACCACCTGCTCCAGCCTGCAAGAGCAACACCTGGCTTCTTCACCAGAGCTATTGGTAAGAAGGAACTGGCCACTTTGTGCCAAAGGCACCCACCAGGGTTTGATACACATTCCAGTATCAAAGGATACTGGCAAGACACCCGCAGCTAAGAATCTGGAAAAACATAGAGAGGAAAAAAAAAAACAACCATGATCTGAAAGCAAGTTTTCATTCATATCTGGTCTTCAAGCCAGTTAAGAACATTCTCCAGCTTTAGCGCTCAGAACTATTTTAATCTTTGGGCCACAAAACCAAGTCCTAAGCAAAGAGCGAGCAGGGACAGCTATGCATTTGGACAAGCACAAGAGATGGTTCTTCCACACGTTTACCTGCCTCATCCCTTCGCTGCCCTTGTTTCAGCAGGAGGGGAGGAGGAGGTGAAGAGCCAACCTGTTCCCTCTTGCAGCCTCAAAGGCAAAAAAGGATTCTCTCAGCATCTCAGCTCGCCACAAGCACAGGCGCCACAACCTGTTACCACCACAGTCACCTGGCAGAGCCACACTCCCAAACAGCTTTCACGGGCAGAAGACAACAGAAAGCGAGGACTTCCTAAAACACAGAGGGCAGCCACAGCACCACCAGGAAGGGGAAAAGAATCTCAGAGCAATGCAGCAGGAACGGTTTCTGCAAAGAATCATCTTTCTCTAGGGGTTAAAGAAATCCTTCTCGCTACTCACCCACATTGGGTCACTCAGCTCCGTATCCTGCAGGCGGACACAATCCATGCTGATCTCTATCTTGTTTGTAGGGCCATTTTCAGATGGGTCATCAATGAAGTTCAAATCAATTGGCTGAACCGAGCATATTGGCCTACAAGGAACAAAGCAGCATAGTTAAAATGGACCAAATTCCATTCCCCTCAACTCCCTGTGTGCCAGGGTGTTCCCCAGGACTTGGGTGCCACCTTTAAACCAGTCTCAGGATCAATTAAGCTATTCCCAGTGAACATGCACTTCACCACCCACCATGCTAGCAACAGTCCCTGAGCAGGGCTGGACCTGGAGGTACGGAAAACTGAAATCCCAACACCACCCCAGACAACAAAACTGCAGGAGTGTCCTGCTCCTAAACATCTTCTTCCATACATCCCACTGAAGGGCAACTTACTGTTCCAGGAAGTCCCAGATATGCTGGATCACCTCTGGGCTGAGGAACTCCCTGGGCTGGGAGCTCTGGGACATGGCTGAGCGGTAGTAACTCTCCTTCCAGGAGAAGTGGCTCGGAGTTTCTACAAACCTTATGAAACAAAAGCAGAAAAAAAGAAAGAAAAAAGAAAACACACAAAGATATGTTGAATGCAAGAGTCCAACTTGATGAAAACCCATAAATAGAAGCTATTGTGTGAAAAAGGAGACACACTGAATGCCTGTAACATTCACAGCTGTACAACACACATTCCACACTGCTGCAGATGCTGTATTTAGACAGCAGAGAATTCAACCACTCTTCTAAATAAGTTAAATACATCTCAGTGTCTACTGGAATGATGCATCATAAGGAATCCTAGAGAAAGAAGAAACCTCTGCATTTTGCTCCTGGAACTTCTCACATAGAGCAGGAAATGCTGGGCAGCAGGTATAGAGTACCTAAATGGTGCAGAACTCCCCTCTCTGCACTGCACAACCTAAAGTGATTAGGTGACTCCATCCACATCTGCAGCTCAAGTCTTGAACTAAAATATACTAAAAAACCACTATTTTTCCTTTTAATCAAGGAGTTCAGTTATATCACATCAGGATACGCCCTGCTTCTCAACCACCTTTCACAGCCGCAATAATTCCTCAGCCACCCCAGCTGCTCGATGCCGGATCCGCTAATTACCTCGGCCATTTTTATCCCCTTAAGCTCCCACAAGCCTCACAGAAATAGGTGGGCCCAAGAGGAGTGGTGACGAAGCTGGAGCACCCGCGCCTTCCACAGCTGCACATTCTCATCCCACTGCCGCAGTGCTAAATTCAAACGCAGCAGTTCTTACGCCCGGGTCAAAATACTCGACGGCTGCAAGGATGTACGGGGGAATTTCTCAAATATATTTGCACTTGAGATCTCAGTTCAACTTTTAATTCAACCATCAGTCAGGTGACTGCTTTTCCTCCCACGAGGATGAGGGCACCCCACATTTTCATAGAAGAGTCCTTCAGGCACAACACAAGGAAACAGCAGCAGCCCCTGCCCGAGGAGCAGCTGTAACAGCAGACAGGACTGTAACTGGATTCCACAGAGAATCAGACTATGGTTTGTTTTGGTGCATTTTGGTGCTGTTTAAGACAACAGTCAGAACAAGATGTATGGAAAAGCCCAACTTATTAAGCAGCAAAAGTTAATAAAAAGTGTCTGAGAGGGAAGATCACACTACAGCTGTTTTTTTTCCTCTACTTATTCCTGAAGCATCTATTATTGACTGCTGCTAGAGGGGGAATCCAGCTCTTTACATTGAATTTATAAGGCCTCTCATGCTTTCAGAATGACTCGGGCCTGCAAAAAGCAGGGCTTTCCTCACTTCTGCTGCTTATGAACTGCACACTGTTCAAAAAGGGCAGATAGTTTTCCCAAGCTAAGAGAAATCAAGTGGCTTCAGCCTCCAGAGCCACAGCTAAGCACATGTCAAAAACATCATGGAATTGTATGAGTTGGAAGGGCCCCTTCAAGGCCACCTGGTTCAACTCCCTGCACTGAACAGAGACACTCACAGCTCCATCAGGTGCTCAGAGCCCCATCCAGCCTGACCTTGGCTGTCTCCAGGGATGGGGCACCACCACCTCTCTGGGCAATCTGTGCCAGTGCCTCACTACTCTCAGCACAGAAAGCTTCAGCATCACTTCAAGTTACTCATCCATTTTTTTCCTGTGATTAAGATTAAAAAAAAAAAACAAAAACCTTTAAAACACCCAAGCACTACAGCTAATACTGTTCTCACCAACATGACAGCACGTCCACACTGAACATAAATAATCACAAGTCCTCTGAGAAGAGCAGTTATCCCACAAAGTACTAGAAATTACTCCTTTTAGGCTTTCAGTCTTGTAGGGCACTTTCAGGAGTGCCATATTGAAACCTCAGACCAGCAGACCTGCCCCAAAGCTGTTATATAAGCTGAGCATCACTGACACAACAAGCTTTGGAGCAGAACATCAATACAGTGAGCCCCTGAGGTGAAGGCCCCCAGCTGCTCTGCCACTGATTTCATTTGGACTTAACACTTATTAGGAATTAAGTCCCTAGGTAGTGACAACAGACAGCTACATCACTTCACTGCTACTTTCACAGGAATCAAATTCACCAAAAAGTTGTCATAAAAGAGATTGCCTCTCCTTCAAAAAGCCTCAGAGCAATGATGTTGCTGCATGCCACAATGCTCCTGTCCACAGCTGGGCAGTCCCAGGTCACAAGAGCTACAGCAGATTTTACCTGACAACCAAGAAGGCATATTTCCTTACACCAAATGAGAAGTTCCCTGGTTAACGCTTTCGTAGAAGTAAGAGTTAAGACCCCTTCAACACTCCCCATATGCAAGCCAAGCTGTTTCCTTCCCTTATCATCATGTACTAAAATATAAACCCAGTGCCACCTTCCTTAACAAACAGCCTTTAACACAGCAGAGTAGCCTCTGTCTACTAAAGAGCCCACCGCATGAAGCAAATTTGCTCTTCCACTAGAAAATAACAACTGAAGCCTGGGCAACATCCATCTACACATGAATTTCACTTCTCCAGCTAATTGTTGTCTCCCACATTAGCAAGCCCTCCTCTCCAGTAAAATAATCCCTGAGCGCCTGAAGCTAATCACAAGAGAGCAGGAGTTTGCATTGTTCAAATTGCTCCTGTTATTGAGGGATGCCCAAACAACACTTCTTTCACCCGCAGCCACTCATCCCAAAGTGCATCACAGGAGATAGTGCTGCTGATCACAGCCTCTTGTACCAAACCACTGACTAGAATGACACAAAGCATGGTGGTAAGCCTTGTCTAGCCCACCTTCTGTTTTAAGCCTACAAACTAGACTCTTAATTCACTTCACTAATTGCTGAAGGAGCCTGCAGGCAGCTTGCCACAAGCTGTAAGTGCACCAAGGTAGAACTGCAGAAGGATTTATGGCCCCATCAAGCTGTGAGCTGAATAGGACATTGCACTCCTGAGTCCCCTCCTTTAAAAGCCATAAAGGGATCTTTAATTAACAGAAATAGTGGCTTAGATCTTCTCCAAGATGCATAATCTTACCCAGAGCACAGGGTTTGCTGGCACCACTCTTTAACCACTGACTCCCAGGATGAGTTTTAGCCAGCAATGCACTCCTGCTCCCATCAAGATCTATCCCATTCCACTTATTTTACAGGAGGGGGTGAAGCCACAAGGCATACAACAGGTGAAAACACTTTTCAAGATTACTTTTCAAGATCTTTGAAGCCTCCTGCTTCAAAGTTGTTTTGCTCTCTGCTGATCATCTTGACTACAGTGCTTTGATAAGCCAGCAGAGTGGGGCTGCATCCCAGCTGATATATTTTGCCATCATGCAGATGAGCAAGAGCTCTGCAAACTGCCAACAAAAGCAGCAACTTTCAGCTGTGCCTACACAGTGACCAACATCAAAGTCTCCCTAGGAACGTTAAGCTTCACAATAAAGAAGTTAATTAAAAAAAAACCAACAACAAAAAAACAACAACCATGTCCACCTCCCCTGAAAAGAAAACCAAAAGAAAACCAGCAAATAAAAATAGCTGGCACAGCATTTGCCTTTCACAAGCTTTAGCCTACCTGCTCTGCAGCCATCCTTCCCTAGAGCTAAGGCTCCAACTGTGCTGGGGATAGCCCCGATTGCTCAGAGCAATTCCTCAAGAGCCAGTGCCAAAGCCCAAGGAAAACAAGGCATTTCAGCTCATTCCAACCTCATGCTTTCCACTCTTCACCACATTTTTCCCCTTCCCACCTTCGTGTGAGAAAGACCAGGAAAAAAACAGCAGCACCACAAAATGAAACAAAAAAGTTACCTTCCGCACCAGAAAGCAATAACAGTAAACCATTAAACTCAACCAGTGCAGCACAGTAATGCTTCCCACCCTAAAAAGCCATCTTCCACCACACAACCTCTCACAGAAAAGAGCTAGAACCAAAACAGCAAGGCTCAACTCACCAGTGGGACAAGCCAGGAGCTCCTGTACAAAGCAACACCTGGGCTTTATACAGAGCATGCTCAGACCCCTCTCTGCAGCCTCGACCTTAAAGGCAGATGCCTCCCACTTTCACAGGGTGGGTACCTGATGCAGGGTACAGTTTGGCATTACTGTGACATGTGCTCAAGACCTCCTTAGAAAATAAGAATGGTTGCCACGGCCAGGAGATAGTGTGGTTTTCCTTGGTTTCCCCTCCAAAACACACTTGTAACTTCACCATCTCAACTGCCTAAAGGTTAATATGGGGAAATCAGAAATGAATAAAGTATCTTGTCCTGGGTTGGCTTTCAAGTGATCTGAGCCCTTCCACTTTTCCTTAGCTTCCCTGGAGCTCAGCACCCCTGGCACTGCTTTTACAAGGGTTTGCATTTCCCCCATACAGTGTGTCAATTCTCAGAAGCTGTCAGTGTGGTTTGTAGGCACGGAGCTTCATGGCTTCACATTGGTTCTATGCATTATAAATCCACGGTGCAAAAAGTGGGAAGAAATCATTCATAGTATGGAAGAGCAGAATGATTTGGAGCTTTTTTCTGTTTGCTGCCCAAGTTCAAGAATGTCATTTTCTGCTTCTTCTCTCCAAACAGATCTCATTGATGTACAGTTTTCTATCAGTGTAGTCAGTCTCTGGACATGCAGATGGGGACAGAGAGGTCCCTCCATGTAAGGTACTGTTTTTTTCACAAGATATATTCTTCTAAAGGAGTCGGTGGTAGACAATTTAGGAAACCCTGATGCAAAGAGAACATCTACTTGTATGAAGAAAGAAATTCCACATCACACAAATGAACCAAATGTATAATTAATATTATCTAAATAATGTTATCTACTATGTCTCATTTTATTCATATCTCTCAAAGTGCTCTACAAAGGAGGACAGAGTCATTATTCCCATTTTACCTGTGGGAAAACTAAGTCACCAGGAGGTCACAGGATTACTCATGGTTACTCAGCAAGCCAGAAATACTGCCTTGGTCACCTAGCTCCCTGGGCTGGTGCTGCACAAAAGAGAACTGGTGGTTCTGGGAGGCTGACCTTTCATGAGGGCAGATAGTGACAGGACAAGGGGGAA